CGGAAAATCGAGGAGAAGGCATCATTATCGATTGATTGAGCGAGATTTGAGGTACGTGACTTGTCAAATTTTGTGTGGGAAAAATTCCCTTAGGATTTGGTATTGTTGTAACAATATGTTATACATGAGCGCCGTGTACGCGAGGTGACGACTGCGTACACGGGTCAATTGTGGAAATTTTCGGTTCTTACTGAGTTGCCTTCTTTTAAATTCCTTAACTGAGTTGCCTTAGCATATGTAGTGATCATGTTTAGCCTAGTATCGCATGTCTACGTGCCTTAACTCTTACTTGTAATTTGTGCAACATGCTTAGTTGAATTATGTGCTTCCCTTTTTTTAAATTAAAACTTTAACTGTAAGATTTCTTGTCATAAATTCATTGTTCCTTCAGTTATCTGCTCAATATTTACTTTGGGACTATGACGTGATTCCTCGGGAGATCCCCCTGTCTTGCATATTTACTTTGGGACTACGAGGCATTTACTCGGGAGATCCCCCTGTCTGCATATTTACTTTGGGACTACGAGGCGTTTACTCGGGAGATCCCCCTGTACTGCATATTTACTTTGGGACTACGAGGCGGTTCCTTGGAAGATTCTCCTGTACTGCATATTTAAATTTGGGACTACGAGGCGGTACCTCAGGAGCGCCCCTGTTGTTTACCTCTGTTTGTTGTGCTATAAATTTTCTGAAGCTTCTCGTTATTTAAATTCTCAGTCATTTCATATATTATTATTATCTCATGCCTTACTTTTCTTTTAAATCAGTAGGGCCCTGACCTGACCTCGTCACTACTCTACCAAGGTTAGGCTTGGCACTTACTGGGTACCGTTGTGGTATATTCATGCTACACTTTTGCACATCATTTTGTGCAGATCCAGGTCTTGCTTACTAGACGAGGTATCAATGAACTAGCCTGTACGCGGAGACTTCAAGGTATATCTGCTAGCGTCCGCAGACCTCTGACTTCCCCTCTATCCGTGTCATGTTTTTTTCCCTTATTCTCTTAAGACTCTGATGTGTAGAGACACATAGTATTTCTCTTAGAAGCTTCTGACTGATTTCTACCGGATTTTGAAAGTTATAATTATTTGAATCGCAGTCTTTATTTATATTAGATATTGATGTTGATTTCGGATTTATATTCTGTTATTCCGCAAATTGTTAGGCTTACCTAATCTTAGAGATTAGGTGCCATCACGATATCCTACGGAGGAAAATTGGGGTCGTGACATGTTGTTATACTTGTGACCACGCCGGGCGGATTATGATATTGAGCCTGTGACCACGCCGGGCTGGTAGCATGTTGAATTGGCCGTGCTTGCGTGTGGATATGGATCCATCACCCTAGGGTCAATCTCTTATGTTTCTCTCTTGATGGTTCGGATATTGAGAAAAACTGATCAGTGGTTTGGTACGGATATGAAAAGGTTGAGGAAAGCCTGGCTAGCATTTGTTTGGATTTGCATTTCATCTTACTTGCAATTTCAATGGTTAATTACCTGATTTATATGCAAATCATCTTTATATGTTGTATCATTGATTGAACAGAGAACTTGCAAAATTATACACATACACACTCAGATAGTTTCTTTTGTGTTTTATACTTGATCAAATTATTGTTTTGTACTTGTTAAATTGATGAAACTGTATAGGTTGTAACAAGTATCGTTTATAATTCTTTCTTATTTTGCCTCGCCGAGGTTAGTTTTGATACTTGCTTAGTATATTGGGTCGGTTGTACTTATGCTACCACTCTGTACTTAATTGTGCAGATCCAGGTATTGGTACCAGTTATCAGTATCGGAGTCGCTCGTTGAGCTGAGTATCGAGAGACGAGGTAGAGCTGCATTCTCGCATGCAGCCTTGGCTTGTGTTTTCTTATGTACTGTTGCCTTTATTTCAAACAGTATCATATTTGGTCATTTCAAACTTATATTTACGTATTAGAGCTCATGACCATGTATTTACCAGTTTCTGGGGGATTTATCATGTATTATCAGTATTTTGTTATATTGAGGACTTAGGCTATTTCTATAAATTATGTTGTTCTGGTTCTTTGTTGTTATGTCCGGCTTGCCTGGCAAGTGTGTTAGGCGCCATCACGACGGGTTGGGATTTTGGGTCGTGACAAGAAGGTTTTCAAAGAGGGAAAAAATTCTATTGTAAAAAATGCGAGCAGATTCAATCAGCCACTCATAGATCTGACCATAATGCATAGTTTCTTTAAATTTTTTGTTTATCTTACAAATTTAACATACAAACTCCTTCCATGAATAGGCTACAAGTCAAAGTGATGTATTACACCGATACAATTTCTTTGATGCTGTGGGATCGGAAGGCAACAAAAATTATCAAAAAGTCAACAAATGATTTAAAGGATACTGTATTTGAGGTATAATATAAATTGTTTGTTTAACAATATAAGGGTGAGCACCTAATTTTAATAAGAAAATTAACGTTTTGCTGCATCTCCACTATGTGGTGTATTGAACACTTCCAGTTAATCACTGAAAAAAGTATAGTAAACTCAAAGAAATCTGTTTTAGTATAGAAGTTCTGTATGAAAGCTGGAATACGTAGAGTTTAAAAATTAATCGATGTTTGTTTTTTTATTTTTTAGTTTATTTTTATTTGCTAACGACGTGCTATGTTGTGGTTCATGTATGAGGGGTACATTGTTTAAAGTGGGCTATGGGTGATGGGTGCGGACACATTTTGCAACAAAACTCTTTAGCTTTTATAAGTTTCTCAGATTATATTTTTTTCTTCTGTTGTAGCTTCTTTAACCACTGTAAATATGTCTTTTTCTTAGACTTCTGATGTTGCTGAAGTATCTTCATGCCCAATGGAGATAGAAAATATTGTTAAAAAAAGATATATGTTTAAAGTGGAAGTTAAGAGCTCCAACTTTGATAATCAAGATGAAGTCTTTAAAGTTATTACGCTTACTGATGACGGGATATTGTAAATAAATACAATCTTTCTCCACGTGCAAGCAGGAATATTCAAAGTATGTCTCTCTACTGAAAAAATTGTGAACTTTGCTATTTGTGATTGAAGTAAATTTTGATTATGATATACATTTTTTATAGGATCCGGATTTCAATAATAACCCAGTCATTCATAAAGATAACGAAATCACGGTGATTTTACAACTCACCATAACATTTCTTTTATATTTGTTGATTCTTTTAATAAAATGATATGGAGGTGTATAAATTAATAAAGCAATAGGAACTAATGTTCTTTCAACGATTGGGAAGATAATTAAAAATCTTTGATTATATAGTGAAGATTCATCTTCTAATGCCGTTTACTAGAATCATATACCTCGACGAACAATGGGAGAAGAAATGGACTTTACTTATGTTAGAGTATTTTCTGTATACATTTCACCATTTTGACGAGAAGGTACATCTTCTTTCCATTGGATGTACCAATGGAAAGAAGAGGTTCTTATCCATTTTAAACCTTATAATTGAGGTACTTGATCAACTAGTGTATAAGCATACTTTAAGTCCTAATGGATTTGTAAGAAATACTTTTTGGTATATCTTTCATTTTTTTTATCAGGTATGTTGGACCGATTTTTATAAAAGGAAGTGGAAATCCGCTGAAGAAATGATGTGTGCTTTTTCAGGTGTTGTTACTAGCATAAAAATTGAACGTTTCTTGATGCTAGGTTTTTCACTCAAAATAAATGATTCATGAATTTTCAAGTGTTTCTATTCACGGGAAATAAAATTCGAACCAATTGTGATGTGTGAACATATTGACAGGAAGTTGAATTTTTGTGGCTTTCAGGTATGTGGGATCAATGCTAGTAGCCACTTGGGGATTTTAACTCATTTTCTGGTGTAGTCGATAAATCCAATTAATAATTTTGTACGTAGAAAAAGCTTACAAACAATTATAGACTCCAATGTGAAGCTCAATTTTATTCGACATTGTGTTGCGAAGAGAACCAAGTGGTTCGAAATATGTGTGTGATTATAATTGGGTGTTTGGCTGCTTTGGTGCAAGATGGATTGACAAACTGAAGCAAGCAAAAATCTAAGTTCAAGGCATCTTGTGTTCAAGGACAATTATGATACTGATATAGGATACCATTATTCCTTCAAGCATATTTGTAATCAATCTTATATAAGAGGTATATTTTCGTTCAAACTTCAAATAGTTATTTTTCCTCTGAATAGAGCAGACATTCTATTTTTCCCTTCCGTTCTTTGTTACCCCAGAACATGGGAGATTAAGGAGAAGATCAATACAATTGGTGAAACAAAATCTCCTTCTCCTGAGGAGTTAGATTCAATTGTAAAACAAAGTGTTCAAGAACAAAGCAAGAGTGAAGCAAGCAATATTGGGAAAAAAGTTGCAAAAGTTGTTACCGTGGAAACAGGGAAAGTAGCTGAAATATTGAAGCAAAAGGTAGTAGTTGCTGGCTGGGGAGCTGCACAACTATGATACCATACGTGATACGCAACATTTACTGCAAAAGTTAACGGAAATATTGGGTATTTCCAGCAGAAGCGAAATCAGTGATCGAGTATGCTTCGGACGATAGGAAGGGTATTGAATAAGTTGACGCAAAAGCTTTTACTGTCCTTATTTTGTGAAGAAAATAAACTTCAATCACTCCAAAGGGAAATATAAGACTGCTCTTTTCTTGATTATCTATATTGATTTTATTTTGAATTTGAGATAAATTTTATTCTTGACCTTTGCGTGAGTGCATAAATATTGATGGTTCCTATCAATTGGCATATATACAATCCTATGAAATTCATATATTTTTTTTTTGATTTAATTCTTTTGAATGCGATCACTAAATTTAGTCTGCAATATAATTTATTTCTATAATATTATTATTTTTTTCTTTGAAACAATCTGTGAATGAGGCGGATACGTATACTAGTAGTAGTACTAGTAAAAAAAAAAAGGATTGGGAAGCGATAGGGATAAGGAGATTGGGCTATAGAAGCAGAAACAAAGATACATAGTACATAACAAAAGGCAAACTCATAAAACTCCGGAAGTATCCTTCAAGATTGAGTTCCAACACAAAGCATGCCAATACAATCCTTTCCTCTTCAACTTCACTTCTACTTCCGGAGATGCTAACATGGCTACAAAACCCTCCCAAAACCCTACTTCCCCTTACCTCCCTCACCCTAAACCCCTCCCCTCCATTCCCTATGTGCTCCATTTCTCCAAAACCCACAAAAACCTCTCTCAAATCCCTTCACATCCCCACCCACCCCACCCCAACTACAACTGACACTGGCCTTAAATTCCGCGAAAAAATACTCTATCTTCAAGCACTCAATATCAACCCCACTAAAGTCCTTGAACAAAACCCTGATCTTCGATCAGCAACACTCGATACAATCAAAACTGTTGAAACTTGTCTTGCTTCTATGGGCATTGAGCGCTCGGCAATTGGTCGAATACTTGATATGCATCCTCAGCTTTTAACATCCGACCCATACATGGATCTTTACCCGATTTTTGATTTCTTATTAAACGACGTCGTTATCCCCTTTAATGACATTCGTAAATCCATTATACGCTGTCCAAGAATCCTAGTTTGCAGCGTTGAGGATCAATTGAAACCCACATTTGAATTCCTGAAGGAATTCGGGTTCGTGGGTCCCAATCGGATCACTTGTCAAACCACTGTGTTGCTTGTTTCCAGTGTCGAGCTTACTTTGAACCCTAAGATTGATTACATGTTGAGTTTAGGGTTTAAACGCGACGACGTGGTGAATATGGTTTTGAGGTCACCTGGGTTGTTGACATTTAGCATTGACAAAAATTTTAGGCCTAAAGTTGAGTACTTTTTGAAGGAAATGAATGGGAATTTAGGGGAATTGAAGAAGTTTCCGCAGTACTTTTCGTTTAGTCTTGAAGGGAAGATTAAGCCTCGGCACAGGCTTTTGGTAGAGCATGGGTTTTCGCTATCCTTATCTGAGATGTTGAAGGTTAGCGATGGGGAATTCAATGCGAGATTGATTGAAATGCAATTGCGGTTATTGGACGATAAGCAATTGTAGCAGTAAGTGAACTCTTTCTATCGATATATGGTCGATTTGTATATGTTGGAGAATCATTAGATTGCTAATACTAAATGTTTAGGTACATGTATTGTGGTTCGATGTGCATTTTGCGTTAAAGTAATGATTTTTATCCTTGATGTGGTATTCTATGTTCATGGTTTCTTTATCAAGAACATCATCTGCTGATGATTTAGCATTTTGAAGTATTTGGCGAGCATATCCATCTGCTACCTGTTTCTCAAATATTGCATTTGTGATCTGTACTTTGTATACTTGCAAGCGAATTTAGTAATAGCCACGACTATGGTAGAGGAATGTGAATTTTCCTTGGTGTGACATGAGGTTTTACTACTACTACAACCAGGCATTGCCCTGTTTAGATATCTGAGGCTCTTGCGACATACTCTACCCGTTTTATTCTATATGATGGTATTTGACTGGTTGGAGTTATAAGTTGTTAATTTGACTTCTATATTATATTGATAATAGTGGAAGAAAACATTAAACCAGTGCTTAGAATTTAATAAAAACATCACATCAAAAGTTCAATATTTTGAATAGTATATGACTTTTAAATTCTTAAAGTTGTGAAAGTTGTATAGAAATAGAATGATTTCAAGCATTCTGGATTGTCATATAAGTCGGAATAAAAAGAGTACTATTTAAGTGTGCTTGCAAGGTTTAGTCCATTCCCGTTGGTGAGTATTTTGATGACTAGATGACACCTAAGTTTACTGTATATGGATGACAGTGATGCATTAAACATAATTATATGATGGCCATTACTTAAAATTCAGTAACAGTGGTGTGCAGGGTCATCTGTGATCAAGGATCCTTCATTCTGTTGAGGTCTATTTGAAAGAATTCTCAATTTTTCCTTAATTGGCCATGCCATCTCAAATGCTGATGGTAAACTTAGTAGCTCGAAAATCAGCCTGTTCCTCGTTGCTGCTTCTTCTATACTCAATGGTCCTGCTTTTATTATTTTTTGAATTTGGTTTTGACTACAGTCGTCCTAAAGCTTGTCGTAACATGGCTTGGTTGCATATTCTTAATCATGGAGGATGAGGTAGGGGGTGCAATTAGACAACTTAATAGGTTTACTATGACTGCCTATTTTGTTTTTGCTTAAGGATTAATCCAATGTTGTCAAAGGCGCGCTTAAGCCCTGAAGCGAGGCTCAATACATGATGAGTGCTTCGCCTCGCTTTGTGGGCCCTTTAGTATCGCATCAAGGCTCTAAGGCATACTTTTCCTTGCCAATGAGTGTAATCCTGTAAATGCGACATTAACCAATTGATATTTCACTTTATCGTAAAAAAGTTTCAATTTCTTTGTCCATATATTTGTTATTCATGCTTATAATTATTAGTCTTGGACTACATATACATATTTTTACTTTTTCTCCAGTTGCGCCTTTTTTCATTAAAGCCCACGCTTTATTTGCTCTTTGCGCTTAAAGCCCCAATGGACCTTAAAGCTTTTTCGCGCTTTTCGCCTTTGATAACACTGTCATTAATCTAAGTGAATTTTCACCCTTTTGAAGGATAGTGATCGCTAGATGTTTTGAGTTATTTATCAAAGATTCAGGTGGATTTTTCTGTTCGTAAAATGATCAAACATGCACCAATTTGTTCATGCACTAGGAGTAGAAGGCTCTTCTCACTTGGCTAAAAGTTAGATGACCATTTGTTTAATTATCCTGAAACCATCTTTGTGTGCTGTGCATCGGAAAGCTAATCTTCAACCTAAAATCAAGTACCCTGTTATTGTGTTTGCATGTCCTCTAGAATATTACATGGTTCCACTGTTGAAAATTTGTTTCCTTTGCCCAATTATGGTAATTTTATCTACTTAGAGTGGAAGAGAATTGGGCTGTCATAACAGCCTCAAAATCTACACATGCTGTCTCTTACCTTCATCGTGTTTCCTTTTAGAGGGCGAATTATTCTTAAGACAGATGTATTCTATAACAATAAACATCTTTTAGAGCCTGTTTAGAAAGCCACCTAGGAATTGGATTTGTGTTTAATTTTGTGTAATTACTCATTTTGACATGTTTATCTGGCCAAGTAATTACTTGGGCAGCATAGAATTGGGTGTAATTGAGGGGGGGTGTAATTACACTCTCCAATTCTCAAGAGGAGGTGAGAATCGGTGGTAATTACACCATGTAATTAAATTGTGACTTTTTCAAATTCTTTTTATTTTTATTTTTACAAATATATTATATTTTGTACACTTTCTCTTTCATTTTTTCTTCTTGTTTTCCAACTTTCTGATTCCAGAGGTGTTGTGCTTCCAGGTTTACTTTTGTTTATTATTTTCCTTCATATTTCTTTGATTTTGTTGGATGAAGATATATTTCTTTGTTTTTCTTAGTTGTGATATTAAATGTTTTATGAGTTTTTTGATAAACTAACGCACTTTTGCTTCTTGATTCGTTTCTCCTACCTTTTGGGATGAAGAACTGCATTCCCTAAAGGTCTAACTAAATTTTTCCTTTTCTTCATTAGCTTAATTTCTTCTCGTTATTTCGTTTAGTTGACAAACTTATATAAAGCTTAGTAAAGATATTATTAGTAGATGCCTATTTTTTGCTTAAACAGAAATTTGTCGCATGCAAATTCGCGTAAATGTTGATAGTGTAACAAGTTAAACTTTCCGTCTAATAACATTCATGAAATAATTAGATGAAATGGAGTCTTACATAATCATCTACTCCTTCATTAAATAATTTCTTATATACGCATATATTAGTCATACATTAAAGTATATTTAATTGTACCTCTAAGTAAGAGTTTATTTAGTTTTTGGTAATTAACTTTTATTAAAAATTTAGAAAATATCTAATTACGTAATTACGCTTGTGCACAAACAGGTTTTTGTAATTACTAGGCTGTCTAATTACTATCCTTAGAGTAATTGCGCAACCTAGTAAGTACGCAGTGGCTTACAAAAGGACACTTAGAGTTTTAATTAGTCATGATCTCAGAGTTTACTGGTTGAATGCCTATCTTATACGATTGCACAATGAAAGTGAGCTAGAAACTTCTTATGTGGTCAGGAGCATTTTCTTGCCTTCTCTTTTATCCTGTTGAAACAAATGGCAGTTAGCAATAATACAACAATGCTACAATATATGTTCATATTTTAACTGTTTCTTTCTATAACACCTCGTTATTGCGCAGCTTTCTTCCATCTGCAATTTTTTTCCAACTCCTAATTTTGACCTTGTTTTCTCCCATGCCTATAGTACCAACGCTTTTTGCAGTGGTGTGCTATGTTCTTAGTGTCAGTTAATCCAATCTATGAGTAGAATTCTATACTATGCCTGAGTGTTCTCGAGAACATTTCTCCTTGTTCTACTTATTATATCTAACTTTGAAGTTAAATCTGTGTGCTGTAGAAATCAGCAGGAACTGCAATGTTTTAGATTGTTCGAGGAGTGACGCATTTTGCTGGAATATTCTTGGTAGAAATAGTAGTTTACAGAGGTAAGATATTTTGACCAAGTGTTGTTAAAGGTTTGTAGAAGTGTGCTCAAGCATTGAAGCTAGGTGAAACTCGATTGCATACATCGCCTTGCTTAGTTGGTGCTTTAGTGTAATACGCCTCAACAGCCATGGGCTATGTTGTGAAGAAGGTGACGGTAAATAGCTGGAAAAGTGATATTTTTGTTATTACAAAAGCTTCGTTGATGAATTAAGAATGTGAAATTGGAAATTTAATACAAATAAACACCAAATCTTAAAGAAATGCATATTTGGATCTTAGAAGCTTAAACTGATTTTAACTTGATTGGAGCCACTTTCCTTTTATGTATTTGATATTTCACTTAAATATAGTTATATTTTCTTGCAATATATTTAATTAGTACTTATTATTCATCTGCACTTTCCTGCATTATGAAGTTCAAGCTTTAGTCTGTTTTGCTGTTGGGTGAAGTACACAAATAGCCCTCAAAGTGGATTGTCTTGAATTTTTATCCCTATTTGGCCTCGCTTGCCTCATGGGCAACACTTTTAACTTTTGACCTTGAAGTTCTTCCATGGGCCAAGCGGGGTTAAAAATTAAAGACCACCTCAAAAGGTATCGTATTTCTGCAATATTAGGTTTGCTCTTCAAGTCTTGAACTAACACTGTTACTTTCTTGTCTGGGATATATGGGCCTCCTGCTTTTAAGTAGGATCAACTTTGTAGGCCTATTGGGCTTTAAGGGCCAAGAATATGGGCCTTCTGCTTGGAACAGCAGTACTGTAAGCTAAACAATTGTGTGTCTTAGACTCTGAGTAATAATAACTAGAACGTGTTAACATAACATGGTCTCTTGATTTATGCTTTAAGGGAGTGAGTTCTTCACATAATCAAGATTGTAGAAATACATTGGTTGACTGTTATTATTGGTAAACACTTTCTCGCACGCACAATGTTTACACCAAGCCAAGTACTATAACATAACATTTCTATTCTGCATACTCTTTTTTCACCTAACTCTGGGTAATTAATGCGCATTTTCACCTCATTTATTGCTTAAAGTATATTGGTTTGATGTAAATACTTGGCGTAAGCAAGTTTTTACCTTATTATTTAGAGTAAGGAGTCTTGGATGGTCTTCTTCGGTCTTACTTTATTGGACTTAATAGATCCTTTGGACATGGTATCTAGTTGAAGTTAAAGGAAGTGAAGATAACTCACATGGTATACTCCCTTTTTCCTTAAAAACACTTTTTTAAAAATTTTAAAACAAAATTAATTGGGACTGATGTTTTAGAGTAGAGAAGGCTAATCCAAGATGGATGGAGGGAATTAAGAAGATAAAACATTCCCAGTTGGTCGACCTCCTTTTATATGAATCGTGGCATATCACTATTCTTTGTCAGATGCTTGAAAATTTAGAACTGGATTTTTGAAACCTCAATTATACTTGAGGGTAGTCTAAGTAGAGTTTAAGGCCCTTGCTCAGATATTTGTATAATCAGATCACTAATAAGATAATAAAGATAAATTGTCAAAATAAGTATTAGTAACTAATAACTTGATTAATGTGTTAACTAAATTGTTGTAACAAGTTAAATTACACCGGTAATGTAACTATCTTTTCTCACATTGTACTTGGGATCGTTTGGTATGCAGATTAAATTATTTTGGGATTATAGTCCTGGAATTATAATCTCTGGACTAATTTATCTTATCTAGAAGGTGAGATAAAAAAAATTCAAATTTGATGGGATAAGGTGGAATATTCAGGATTAAGTTTGAGAATTTATACCGTCAACCAAACAAGTATAAAGTTCCTTGTAAGAAATAAGCATTTGTATTATTGTAGAGTTGGGCACACTGAGTGATTCTTGAAAGAGAGATATGGAAAATCCAAGCGCAGATTGGCAGAAGAGAAGACAAGAGAGGTTTCTGTGCATGGCAGAGATGAAGGAAGATGGGAAAATAAGCTTGAAATTATTATTTGTTGTCTGCAATGGCAACAAAGGACAACATTTCTCCCTAGAATCAGTTACTACAGCCATTTGAGTTCACATATTCTGACCTAGTTGATGTAATGCTCACCCAACCAGTCTGACACTGCTTGCATGATTAATTGCTATTGTTTACACTCCTCCTTGATGATTCTTGGAAAACGGTCTTTTTTATTTTGTTTTGGAGTTAGTTCTGAGAGTACTAGAATTTATTTTGGATTCACTTCTTTTGTGTAGAATTTTTTCACTTCTTCACCCCCCTTTGCAGTCTCTAACCTGTGGTTTATATTCATTCTGAATTGGTTCCGTATTAATGCCTACTTTCTGCGTGAACAGATAATTCAATATGTTTCGAGGACTCCCTCTTTTTGGATGTAGAGACAACCTTTCATGGATTTTGAGCATCAAATTAGAGGCATATTTAGGAGGTTTGAACGGGCGTGTGGCGAGGCATTTTATTTGATACGGGGCAAGAAATGAGCATCAGAGGATTTTTTTTTTTTTTTTTTTTTGCGCCTATAGTATTAGCATGGTTGTGATGGAACATGCATACTTATTGTAGAAATGATAGTTCTTAATTATTGAAAGAATAGAAATGACAATAATATAAAGTTATTACTGCTAAGTGTGCTCTCGGGCTTGCCCCAGTACTCACATAATTAAAGAACTCTTCTAAAACACTGGTCCGCATACATACATATATAATCTAAGGTGGCAGATTCATGATTAAAACACAAGATCGCTTATTACAAGTTAACCTATTGATACTATTGCTAAAATTTGTTTCTTTTCATTCTTGCAGGAGTAATTTTAGTTCCTTAATTTCAAGAAATAGATGTCCAGTCGTTACAATTGGACAAGCTTTCTACGAGTCCAAACATTTCTCACTTTCATATTCATCTCTCTTTTTATTAAGGTTTAATTGCCTTTGCTGATATATTTGGTTCCGTAAAAAGGTGTCGTCGAATTTCCTTTCGATCAATGAAATCCAGTGTTACTAGCGTTTGCACGAATGAAATGGTACTACAAGTGGTGTTTGATTTGTCTGAATCGTTTAACTAGAAAAAGGAGCTTAATTTGTAAGATGCGTCTAGGTTAATTATCATGAAATATTCTGGAGAGATGGCCAAAAGAATCTTAGATCAGTTGGTTTTCTGTGTCTTTCATTTGGCTACAGGCAATAAAGAGTAAAAACTAAAGATATCACACTAAAAAGAGAATGGACATTGATCGCTAATAGCACATGCCCATCCAAATTTGAAGTTCATTAGTTCCTATAGCCACCTCAAGTTAATATACAATAATAACTGGATTTACAGTAAATTACTATAGATATTAAGTAGATTTCATATTTCATATTATATATATATATATATAATGAACTCATAGGTTACCTTGTAAATCTGCCTCTGATTAAGAGGACTGCAATTGGTGGCCATTGGTTGTTCTGAATTACTAAGAGAACATATATAGGCTTTCTCTCAATCTTACAATTGTATGTATATTCATCTCAACTCTGAATATAAGACTGAGATTAAGTTGTATGTACTCCAGGTTAATCTAAAAATTAAAGTGCCCATGCAATATAATAGACCTAATGGCAAAGCCCCATCCTTCAACCTTTGATCACTTTTTAAAAAGTTTCAAAGTTATGACGAGGCGGGCAGTGGCGAAACTAGAAATTTCTTTGAGGGTGTTCAAATTTAAAAGAAGTAAAAAAAAATTCTGATAAAATGGTGTTCAATATGTGTTATATACCTATAAAACGTAATAGTTTACCTATGTAGACGATGCAATTTTTAAACGAACTTTGTGACCATGTGGCTTCGCCACGAGGGCGAAGCATAAGTTGTTGAAAATAATCCTCATAGCCAGAGATATTAATCCGAACATTTTTACATGTTAAAAATTATTGACACGATGGATGCATAAGTACAACAAACGTACTCAGTATATAAAAAATGAAAAAGTAAGAGTCCAAATATTCCACTTGTTACAACATCATGGAATCTTATTACTATGTTCAAAATCAAGTGGTGCCAAAGCAACTAAACAGCTTTAAACGAAGGAGTAGATGATTACGATCGAGTAATAAATAGTACGTACGGTTATAATATATGCCAATGTTTTATGTTTATGTAAGCAGCAGCTGCGAACCGTTTGGTTCTTGCTACTATGCTTCCGTCTGTTTGACACAGCTGATCGATAAGAAAAGACTTACGCACGTGGACGTGTACCCAATCTCTTCAAATATTTTTGGATTCTCATGTTCTTTTTCTTTTAATATATACTATATAGTACTACTAAATTATAATTATTTATGTGCTATAACTCATTTTATTATGGCTAAAGTGAAAAATTAAAACCTAAATTATTTGTAAGTGTATAATATATGCCAATGTTTTATGTTTATGTAAGCAGCAGCTGCGAACCGTTTGGTTCTTGCTACTATGCTTCTGTCTGTTTGACACAGCTGATCGATAAGAAAAGACTTACGCACGTGGACGTGTACCCAATCTCTTCAAATATTTTTGGATTCTCATGTTCTTTTTCTTTTAATATATACTATATAGTACTACTAAATTATAATTATTTATGTGCTATAACTCATTTTATTATGGCTAAAATGAAAAATTAAAACCTAAATTATTTGTAAGTGTATAATATATGCCAATGTTTTATGTTTATGTAAGCAGCAGCTGCGAACCGTTTGGTTCTTGCTACTATGCTTCTGTCTGTTTGACACAGCTGATCGATAAGAAAAGACTTGCGCACGTGGAGGTGTACCCAATCTCTTCAAATATTTTTGGATTCTCATGTTCTTTTTCTTTTAATATATACTATATAGTACTACTAAATTATAATTATTTATGTGCTATAACTCATTTTATTATGGCTAAAATGAAAAATTAAAACCTAAATTATTTGTAAGTGTATAAAAGTATCATTTTCTTAATACAGACTAAATTGAAAAGTAATCGCATAAATTAAAACAAAGGGAATGACATTTATAAATTGATAATGCAAAAATGTTTATATGAGCGCTGCTATTTGTTTAAATAATCTGTGTTCAAACATCTAGACTTATAGATAGAATGCCTTCAATGATCTTTGACTAAATAGGACAAATAGTAGCGTCCTTTCTCGCTACTTGTTTTCCTCCGGTAATAAATTTCACCATTTTCAAAGGCAAAAAAATGATACTCTTTATTAAAAGTTTAAGGAATAAAATATTTGTGAAGTCATAATATTTATGTGACTACAAAAACTTCTTATTAAAGGTAAAATGGGTAAAAATATAATGTTTGAAGTTAAATTATTTACAAATAGAGAAATATGTCATTCTTTTTTAAACAGATTAATAAAAAAAGTATGTTATATAAATTAAAACGGAGAGACTAAAAGCATATAGGCATCGTAAAAATTTAAGTCTTTGTAGTCTTATAAATTTGCAGCAAACACATTCTCTAATAGTTTGATGAATAACTCGTAAAATATGATAGGCCTATTATCTGATATGATAGATTAAAATTTAATAATGGTATACAAATTCTTCATATATATTCATTATATATAAGTTAAAACCTTTATTTTGAACTTACATGCAAACAAACAAGAACCTAATAAAATTATTTAAAAAACAAGGAAATGCAAGTGCGGACGATTCCTCTCTGTTTGTAAAGCAGTGTCTCCTGCCCCAATCAATGAAAGAAAATCTGAAACGAAATCAAACACTGTCCTTTTTTTCTTCTTCTTCTTTTATTGCATCCCCCACAAACTAGCAGAGATATCATTTACATTTGCTCATTACTGACACCATAGCCCTAAAATCAGCCCCATGCACAGTTTACTTGTTATTTCTAGCACCAGTATATAGTTACACCTCTTTGTACTATCTTTGTTAAATATTCCAAGTATACCCTTTAGCCCTTTTACTTGAACAGTGTCTCAGTTTATTTAGTACAATGGGATTACTGTTTAAGGTCAGATATCACAAACAGACCGTAGATAGATAGATTGATGAAAAATGTACCAGGGGTTCTAGCTAAGGATTAGTTAGCTAGCTAGGTTCTAGAGTAGGTCCTTTACAGTGTATTTTATAGGTTTTCTCATTTCTCTACATTTAGATGTTAGAAAAGTTGAAGTGACATTATTCAAATTATTTATAAAAGCAATTATAAATATATATTTATGATAAATTAATAAAAATAATAACTAATCTGTTATTACAAGTTAAACTGTATCAATAGTATTAAAAAGTGAGATCTTTACATAAATAGTCGGCCATAGTCACCGTTTACTTTTTTTTTAGTCATATAAATAAATTATATATTAATTATACACAATTTTACATATATAATATATAAATTATACACATTTAAATTATTTATATATTATACTTACACTAACTATATTTAATTTAAGCGGTTAGGTGAGCGGCTATTTGGATTAATTCCAGTGATATCCGTGAAAATCTCCGATATGATAGGTGTGTGTTCAATTCCCGCTATTCCTTTTCCTTTCCTGAGAATCTCCATATGTAATGTAATTTGTTTTTTTGAAAAAGATATTATAACTTAAATCCTAGAGTGAAAAGGTTAAGGAAACTTCTTACTAAAATTACCTATCTTATATCTCCTTCAACCCTATAATTTCAAAAACTTTTTGACTATGAATTGTTAACATCTAACCAAATCATGAAAAAGTAAGGGGATGGGAAATAACCAACCTATATTTATTACCATTTGTGTATTAAATTGAGAATGAGATCATGTTTTATTTTAAGCACTGCAAAATGGTACTTAAATTTCTGATTGCTTTTTACTGTCTTATAAAGAGTATGGCCAGAGTTCCTTTAATAATTTCTAACCCTTTTATAGCTATATGTAGTATTGTTGGGTTGTAAATCTAACTCCTTCTTTGGATAGTTCACAGAAGTCAGTGTACAATTTTCTTGCTAGCTATCAGTCTTTCCTCCTTTACTTGTTGTGTGTGACCTAAAACTCTGATCACTTTCTTTAGCTAGTTCTAGGTCTTCCTAGACTTACTGTGAAGTCCAACTTCTGTTGAATTTAACCCTACCACCAGATTGTCATCTCACATTTTCATTAACTGTTTTCATTTTTTATTAACAGTAAATAGTGTCTCGACAAACGGTAATGTTGTTTTCGAATGATTTATAGGTTATAAGTTTGAGCCGTAAAAACAATAATTAATGTTTATATCACACATGTAGGGGTATGATTATTTTTCGGACCCTGCGTGAATGCTTATTGCACATGACTGCCTTTTTTATTGTCCGTATAATCAGGTTTTAAGCAGATAAAAAG